TATTCTCATAAATATTATGCTAATTATGGTTGCCTCTGTGAGTTTGCGAAGAGAAAATAACTGTCGCTGTGATAACGAGCGTCATGAGGCGGTAAAGCGGGCGTTATAGTAGGGTATAGGGATATTTTAATTTATTTCTGAAAAATGCGACTTCGGAATACAACTTTATTATATATGATTGAATTTGTCGTTAAATGAGCTATAAGTTTTGTTATGAGACAAATTTAAAAATTTTCAAACATTGAAAGAGAGGGGGGAGGGATTTCGAAAAATATGACATTTTCAACAAATCTGATTACATGATTTTGAAGTACATTAAAAACCATAAAACTTTTATTTGAAACTTTTGTTTATATCTCTTATCGCTTCGACGGTATTTGCTGAGAAATGAAAAAATCGATTTTTTTCAAGAAAGTGTTTCACCCCTTTAACGGCCAAATTAGCACTTATAAAAAAATACGTGTCTTCTATTTTGATCTAGACTACAACATATTCAAAGCTCATTAAAATCGGAGGGGGACACTTCGACCCTTTCCTTGTTAGATATTATTGTAAAAATCTTATTCTTATTAATTTTGTCACATCCATGTTACGTTTGAACTATCCATCATATTACTCAAGAATACTTGACGAAAAGGAACGAAGGCCTTATTTTCTAAACCGATTCAAGCCGACAACAGCCAGGCCAGGTGTGACAATCTACTGCCAAGATCGGAGCGGGCACTTTGCGATAGGCCTTCCGTCAGAATACACGTTGTAAAAGGCTGCATGAGTCGTTTCCCCGAGAAGTCGGACCGCCGTTGATTATTAAACGTTAAACTGAGGATTGTTGTCTTGAATTGTCGAAGACAAGTTTATACACAAAGAGAGAGAGAGAGAGAGAGTTTATTCTATAAATCTGGCTTACGGTTATACGTGTGAGTAGCAATTATTTATGCAGCTCTGCCCGGAGCAATTTTCCATTTCCATATAATTCTCGACCTTATTTTTCTTAATTTACAATTTTGGGTCCTCCCAAGTCCCATCCCTGAGAACATACTACTAAATTTTCCGCAAAAATTCTTTTGTTTTATTAATCTAAATTTAAAAGAAAAAAATTTACTAATGAAAAAATAATACAAAATCAACTAATTCGTAACAATACTCAAGCTCGTATAAAAACAAACACAATGATAAATTATTAAATATTACGAGGCCATGTGAAACGAGCAATAAGAAATTATTATATAACTTAAAAAAAAAAATTTTAATTTAAAATACCAATTACAATTTACTAATTTATAAAAATTAGTTGGCGCCCATTGTTATATATTTAAATATTAATAAAGAGCCCTGACGGCCACGGACCCGGTCGCGTCAGGTGAGGGCTATTGCTTAAATTAATTATATATCAAGTTACTATTATTTATTAAGTCGAACAGCCCGTCTCAGATGACAAATAAAACTCGTGAAATTGAGGTACGTAAAAATAAATATTACAAATGTAAAAATATCAAATGGTAGATCGTATTATTTGTCATTTCGATCTGCCATTTCCACAACTTTCATATACTGCTCACATATTGTCAATCGTCATAAAAAGAGTATCATTTATATAAAAGGAACGAAAAATCAAAGTGGACGGTATCGAAATAAATTACGTCAAAACCGGAAGAGGTGATCATCTGGTGTTATTGTTACCTGGCGGATTAGGTAAGTATATATATAAATAATAATTAATTTAAGTTTTTTGTTAAAGGGTGAAGTCTTTTTTTTAAGAAACTTTCGTTCGATTTTGATTTTATCCTCTCCCCTCTCTCCACCTCGTTAAAAAGTAAGATGTGTTTTTTTGTTTTCGAAAAGTTTCGAAATGTGACGACCTTTGCGAAATGAAATAAATTTTTTTTCGCAAATCTCGCAATAATGAACTTTTTCCTACAAATTAAAAAAGCAAAGTTTATACAATTTTTTTCGCAGAGTTACGGCATATCAAAGTTATTCATATATTTTTTCCATTTACCACCAGCATTATCGATATCCGACACGCATCAACGATGATTGCGCGACAAATTGCTAATGACGATCTCCCTCACAGGGTCAGTAATCAAACAATTAGAAGACGTTTACGTGAACGTGGTTTAAGTTTGCAAATTCGACATTTTTCTCTCAAATGTATGGATCTTACTTTTTTCCATACATTACAAGAAGAAAATGTAGATGTAGATGTTATAATATTATTCGTGTTTATTATATTTAACAATAAATTGTAATAAATTGTAAACGATATGGATCATACATTTTTTTCATACATTAGAAGAGGAAAATGTCGAACTTGCGATCTTAAACCATGTTCACGTAAACGTCTTTTAATTTGATAAATAATAATCCTTAAGGTTGCCAGTAATAATTAATAAAAAACCACTCCTCAACGTTTAAAGTCGACCAGACTGGCGATAATTTATTATGAATAATTATTTGAAATACAACGTTTCGGCTGTCATTGCAGCCCTTTTCAAGTACATCTATAAAAAGTTCCATCAAAATAATTATAATTTAATACACTTATTCGTAACAAATAATTATACATTTAAAAACAAAAATGTGTTACATACCAAATTTAAAACAGTAAATCAACTTCTATGCAAACAACCGACAATGTTAACCCTTGTTTTGATGAACAATGCAATGTCTTTTAATTTGTTTGATCACTGATTCTGTGAGGGAGAACTTCATTAGCAACAATCATTGTTGGTGCGCGTCGGGTAATGCTAATGTTGGCGGTAATTGCACATAAATGCATAAATAACTTTGATATGCCGTAACTTTGCGAAAAAAAAATCATACGTACTTCGCTTTTTTCTTATTTGTAGAAAAAAGTCCATATTTTACAAAAACTTGGATAAGATTTGCGAAAAAAATTTATTTCACCGCGTAGAGTTCGTTCGTCAAATTTTGCAATTTTTTGACAAAAAAATGCAACTTACTTTTTAACGGGGTGGAGAGAGTATGAGAGGATAAAATCAAAATTGAACGAAAGTTTTTTTAAAGTAAAAAAAAAGTCTTCACCCTTTAAAACAAAAAAAATTTTTTCAAATACGATAATTTTTCGCGGAGATACGCTTATTTGAATTTACGCGAAATTTTGATATTGATTCCGTGTTGCGATAATTTTTTACGAGTGTAGGTACATATATACATTTTATTATTATATATTTCTTTAAACAAAAAAATTATTACACAATTGTCTAATATGTTCAAAATCCACCAAAAATATAATAAAGCAAGAAACGCAAGTTTATTATAAATAATTAATGATAAAACAAATAACAATAAAAAAATATACAAATATAATATGCATATATGTAAATTTTAATTGTCTTTTTTCTTTATTTTTGTTATTATTGTAATTTACAAACAATTTTTTAAAATTATGGATATTTCTACCGACTTATAATAATTTCATGCAAAAATGTAAGGTTGATAAATATTAAAGTTTTGATAAAATGTAAAAGGATTGAATAAATTGATAGAAATGTTATTTGATTTTAAAATTAGAACGATAGCAATGTCAAAATTCTTTATATCAAACTATGTGTTTCAGGAACGATATGGACTAATTATAAGCCGCAGATCGAAAATCTAAATACAAACAAGTTTACCATACTAGCATGGGACCCACCTGGTTATGGAAAATCGCGACCACCCGACAGAACTCTTCCGGACGATTTCTTTCAACGTGACGCAGTATTGGCTCATAATCTGGTACAGACTCTGGGCTACTCAAAATTTTCTCTGATCGGTTGGTGCCACGGCGGCATCACATCGCTTATACTTGCCTCAAAATATCCTGATAGCATTCGTAAGATGGTGCTTCATAGTACAAATGCATATCTGCTCCCGGAAGAGAAAGGAATATATGAAAGTATGAGTATTTTATATCAGAGATGCAATATCTAGAAAAAAATATTTCTTTTTTTTAGTAATAATGTAATTTACAATAATAATATTTATAATTATATTATGTATAATATTTATAACATTTGTAAAATATTTATAACATAATAGTAAAATGACTTTAAAATACATAAAGGGTAAAAGTTTGATAAAATAATTAAGATTTGAGAAAAATGCTTTTGTGAAGAGTTACGAAAACTGTGAAAATTTTTAGAAACATTGTTTAACTGTAGTTAAAATTTATAAAGTATAAGATATTTTGATTCTATTTCATCTTTATAGAGATTGCGTGAAATATTTCGTTTTTTTTGTTCGGATAATTTTCTTTTTTTTAATATTGTGTAGACATGAGAGATATCAACAAGTGGCCGGAAAGAAGGAGAACAACTTTGATGCAAGTTTACGGCGAGGATTACCTTACAAAAACTAATTCGGATATAATAGACGCTATGCTAAGATTGAACGAAAAGCAAAATGGTGACCTGTGCAAACAGGCATTATCGAAAATAAAATGCCCAACGTTGATTATTCATGGAGGTAAAGATGACACGGTTTTACCGGAACATGCGACGTATCTGAAGCAAAATATCGCCAAGTCAAGGTTTGTATCTTTATGGATTCGAAAGAATTCAAAGTGATCTGCGAAATAATTTTGTACCATAATTTACATATAATTTATTTTATATTACAGCATACATATTTTCGAAAAAGGTACACACAGTCTTCACTTAAGATATTTTGAAGAGTTCAATGATTTGGTGACGAATTTCATCCTTGATCAATCAAAATTATAGTTTCTTTTAATAAATATTTACTATTTCATCTATATATATATATTTATATTGGCAATTATATATAGTGTATTTACAATTATATATTCTATTATGAAATTAAACATTTACATATTTTAAATATGGGAAAGGGTGATAGATTTATATAAATTATATTTTCTTTTGTAATCAATTATATATACATATACATCTTTTATTATATGTATTAAAAACTAACTACTTTGTAATATGTATAATAAACTGAATACTTATTAATAATGCTATATAATATTTACATATTATCATATTACTAAATATAAATGCAACATTTTCTCGCATTATTACGCAAAGAGAAGTTTGGGTATTTAGCTTCTGCTTCTGGATAATCATTTAAGATAAATCTTAAAGAGTTACCCATCCAGGTACTGAGCCGCCCCACCACGACAAAATGTACCCATTCGTGGGATTATTTTATTGTATACATAACATTGTAATTGTAGTAATTAATAGCTTATTAATTATACTATATAAAATAGTTTTCTCATATCAATCACAATCGTAGAAAAAGAATTTGACAATATGCAAAGCATTAACTATACGTATTTATTGCTCGAGTGTTGGACTTCGAATGACAACAATAATGCTATTTTATTGACGATACTATGATTGATTAGCATATAATGTTCACATTTTGTTGCTAAATATATTAAGTATTTTAAAGTATATGAAAATAAATATCATGTATGTGGTATATTAAATTAAATTAAAATTTCTAAGCATAGATTAATTTTCATATATAATTGTCGAATTAATGAATATACACTAAAAATGCGTTTTGATATTTAAAATCGCAATATGCATATGTGATAGTGTAATTACATTTTAATTATAGAAAGTCGCGATATAATTTATCAATCATTTTATTATATAAAATAGTTTTTCCAAATCGATTGCAGTCGTAGATAAAGAATTTAATAGTATGCAAAACGTTTAATACTATACGTTTTATTGCTCGAGTGTAGGAGCTCAATGACAACCCCATACAGCACAACAAGATCGCAGCAGCATTGTGACAACATTTCATTGCAATATTACAACATTGCATAAACATTGTGAAATGTTGCAGCAATCGTGCTGCAAGGTTGCAGCAACGTTAAAATGTCCGCTTTCAGAAATATTGTTCTATAACATTGCAGCAATAATGCAATAAAATATATATGTAATATTACTATTCGATCATTAGAAATGTGCCAAATACATGATCGGACTGAATGTTCTGTACCAATATTTTTTGCGTGAATTTTATTTTCATAATATTTCTGAAATGTTGCTGCAACGTTGTTTAAACTATATTGCAAATTCATGCTTATATGTAGGATTGGGATTATTTTAGAATATAATTATATCGAGCGAATGATTTTTGTGTATAAGCGAACGATAATATTTGTCTCGCTTGTTATTTGCGAGAAACAAACTCTTTACAATAATAAGGACACGAACAAGGCAAAGTGAGTCAGCTCGCATGACTTTGTTTATAAATAAGTTAGGATTACCTTGACGAGGGCAGCAGTTAGGGAACTAACTGAAAATTGAAGAACAGTCTAGAAACCGACAAGAAGGGATATAAATACAGGCAATGGGCTGTCGAAAACAAAAAGAAGTTAGACAGTCCTCGCTCGATTTCGTTACCGTGAACATCACCGAATAATTACCGAATTCTCTTGTAATTTCTATTGAATATATCTTTATTTTATAAAGACTTGAAAAATTGTCATTTGATACTGTCATTGATACCGTACTAATATAAAAATAAGTTGATACTGTTCGTCTAAAAAAAGTCCTTACAATTTTGGGGGCTCAGCCGGGATTGACGCGAGTTGACGCTGCGTGGGACTGCGAGCGGTTGCAGCTTGAAGTAGGGAATTTGGACGAGTACCGATTTTTCAATGGCGCACGCTGAGAGAGGTGCGAATAGATTTACCGTCAACGAACTAAGAGAAATACTGCGAGAGAAGGGCTTGACGATAACTGGCGCGAAGCACGAGTTGATTGCCAGACTTTTTGAAGAAGATCCAGCGGGCAGTTGGATGTTGCGAGTGACGAATGAGGAGGAGCAGGACGGGGTGAGAGAGACGATAGAGACGAGAGGGACGAAGGAGAGCGGTGAAGTGGACGAATCGAGCATACATGATACTGAGGTTGAGTATCTGCGACGGTCAATGGAACTTTGTGAAAGAGAAAAACGATTGATGGAGCGCGAGCTGCGATTGATGCGACAAGAAAACGATTTGTTGAGACGCACCCAAAATGTGAATACTGATGGAGGAGAATTGAGAAATGAGGTGGCTGCAGGGAGTCCGACGATCTCTCACGAAGCAGGCGTAACCAACATAAACGCAATTGCAAGCCTGTTGGGATATTTTGAGGGCGACAGCAGCGCATTCGAATCCTGGAAGAAGCGTGTCGAATCATTGAGAGGCGCTTACAACTTGACCGACGACCTGACGAGAATCCTGATCGGAGCACGCCTGAAGGGCAAAGCACAAGAATGGTTGCATTCTAGCCCAACGTATACCGAGATTACCGTCGACGAGCTGTTAAACGAGTTAAAAAATATGTTTTTCCATGAGCCGGGAAGAGTGCATGTGAGAAAGCAGTTTGAGCAGCGTATTTGGCGAAGAGAGGAGACATTCAATGAGTACCTACATCAGAAGGTGATTCTTGGAAATCGAATTAAAATTGAGGAAAGCGAGATGGTCGAATATGTCATCGAAGGGATTCCGGATCCAGTCTTACGAGACCAAGCACGAGTACAGCGGCTGCGTACTAGAAGGTCGCTAATTGAGGCGTTCGAGAGGGTATCGCTGCGAGGGAAAGAGCAGTCGGGAGCGCGAAGGAATGAGAGGGAACGGCGTGTCCAGGGACGTGCCGAGCGAGAAGAGTCAGGGGCGACAAGGAATGCGATGCGATGCCATAATTGCGGAGCGCAGGGACATCGTGCAGCGAATTGTCCGTCAAAAGCGAAAGGTACGCGATGTTTTGAATGTAGTGAGTTTGGACATATTGCAGCAAATTGCGAAAAAAAAAAACTAGAATTAACGAAATAAAAAGTATGCACGATATTACGAAAACGGAACGAAAATATTTTAAAAACGTAAAAATAAATAACGAGAATATAGTAGCTTTGATTGACACGGGAAGTGATTTATCATTAATTCGCGAAGAACAATATATAAAAATAGGGTCACCAAATTTGACCCATCAAGAAATTGTGTTTCGTGGTATAGGCACACAGAATTTTAAAACTAAAGGACGTTTTGATACCGAAGTAGAAATTGACGATGAACGTTTTTTAACCAGTCTATCGGTAGTACCGAATGAATTGCTGCAGTATGACTTACTCATAGGGACTGATTTATTAGACCGAATTAATTTGTATGTCGAAGAAGGAAAAATTACGATGCGAAAACCTCGCGCAGAGATTCGAGCGGCAGAAAAGTTACCGGAAATATTTAAAATCGAATTACAGAGCGAGTCTAGCGATACCGATTTATCACATTTGACGAGCGAGAATGAAAATAAAGTAAGCGACATGATCAATAAATATAATCCTACCAGAAAATGCGAGACGGAATATAAAATGACTATTATACTTCGTGATGACGAACCGGTTTATCAGAGGCCTAGACGTTTATCTCCGTCGGAAAAAGAAAAGGTTACCGCACACATAAACGAATGGTTAGACAAGGGTATAATTCAACCCTCACTTTCAGAATACGCGAGTCCGGTAGTTCTAGTTAAAAAGGGGACGGGAGAGACTAGGTTGTGTGTCGATTATCGACAACTAAATAAGAAAATAATAAAGGATCGTTACCCACTTCCATTAATTGACGATCAATTAGATGCATTGCAAGGGGCATCAATATTTAGTACGATCGACTTAAAAAACGGATTTTTTCATGTGCCGATGGAAAAGGAGAGTAGAAAGTATACCTCCTTCGTAGTGCCAGACGGACAATACGAGTTTCTCTACGCGCCTTTCGGTTTGTGCAATTCTCCGGCAGTATTTCAGAGATTCATAAACCAGACCTTTCGAGAGCTAATCAGGGGCGGCGTGGTTTTGACATATGTGGATGATCTGATTATTCCATCTACGGATTTTGAAGCCGCGTTGTCAGGTCTTGAGAAAGTGTTGGGCGTTGCCGAGAGATTCGGATTAAATATCAATTGGAAAAAATGTAAATTTTTACAGACTAGAGTCGAATTTTTGGGTGTAATTATTGAAAACGGTTCGATGCGACCGACAGAACATAAGACGGAAGCCGTGATAAGATATTCACAACCGAAAACAATAAAACAAGTACAAAGTTTTTTGGGACTAACCGGATATTTTCGAAAATTTATTAACAATTATGCGCGGATAGCCAGACCTTTGAGTAATTTATTAAAAATGAATGTAAAATTCGAGTTCGGTGCGAAAGAAAAGGAGGCCTTTGATAAATTGAAACTAATATTGAGCGAGAACCCAGTGTTGAAGTTGTATAAGCAAAAAGCGGAAACAGAATTGCACACCGACGCATCAATGTACGGTTTCGGTGCTATATTATTTCAAAAATGCGATGACGATGGTGCTTTACATCCGATTTACTACGCGAGCGGAAAAACCACGGATACTGAAATGAAATATACAAGTTATGAGTTAGAAACTTTAGCGATAATAAAGGCACTGCGAAAATTTAGAGTTTATTTACTGGGAATTAAGTTTAAAATTGTTACTGATTGTCAAGCATTCGCTTTGACAATGAATAAAAAAGATCTGTGTGTTCGCGTTGCTAGATGGGCTTTGTTGTTGGAAGAGTTCGACTATTGTATTGCGCATCGTCCGGGTAAAAATATGATTCATGTAGATACCTTAAGTCGAAACCCGTTACCGCATAATATGCTAATAAGCGAATCGGAGGAGAGTATGATTGTAAGAATTCGTAAAGCTCAAAAAGAGGACATAAATTTGCGAGATATTTATTCGTTAGCAAATAAAG